CATATAGTCTCTTCGGGACCAACTGAACCAAGGACTTGTCGATGCAATCGGAGTAGTCTTGCAACGGATTTATCCCATAGGGTGTACCATTCTAGGAGAGCTTTCCTGAAATATTCAAGACGATGTCCCTCTTTGGATTTTCATCAAAAAGGCTATGAAGCGCCCCTAGTCAGTTTGCAGCAGCAGATGTACACGTTGCAATCCGCACAAGGATTATGTAAGCCGTTCGTAAATTCTAACCCTCTACCGTTTAGCTGCCGTACTTAGGATTTCTATAAATGAAAAGATGTGCAGCTTCGAAAGTTGAATGTTCATTTGTCAAAACTGTTTCCTCTGAATCGAGTTATGGGGATGCAAATGTTGCAAACTTAAGTGAAAGCTGCATCTTTCCTTTCATGAATGTATAAATGGTCATCCGCAATTTCATTTCATCGGCGGTATTGTATTATGGCCATTTGAGATTATAATGATGTGGCTGAATGATATTGCTGCTAGAAATTTAGGTCTGGCAACGTTTTAGACTACAGCGCTTCAAAATCAAGGAAACAGATGAACCAAAAACTTACGGCCTAACCTTAATATACAGGATTGCCAAAAATTATGGGCGTCATAGTTTTCGCCGCAAAATGTTTAAAAAAAGGGGATTTTTTATCTTATTAAATTATTTCTGCGTATCGGAACAAAGATATCTTATTGTTAGTGTGTTGGCTCCCGCCTAAGCATACAGACTTCAGCAATTTATCTTGCAGACTGCGTAAAAAATGCAAAAAACGTCAAAAAAAAAACTTGGAATGTATCTATCGGTTACAAATCAGTAGATCCTAAGATACGATGTTGTGTACAATGATCTGAGAAATAAAACATGCTGTGACAGCACTTCCACCTTCTCTAATTAAGATACTGTGCTATAGCATCTATAGCATATTGCTGAGTAACCGTTGAGCGCCTTTCAAGTAGAAGGATCGGAATACGTTTGCATTAGAAAAGACCAGTCTGCACTATTCTCATATGAATATCCTATTTTATAGGCCGTTTATTTTCATGATGTACACGCATATTAGCCTTCGCGGCAGAATATTTTAGAAATAAGTTCTGGGCCGGTAGTAATCTGGCCGAAACTCCGAGTTTTAA